AATCGGTTCAGCCGTTTTTAAGGAAACGTCGATTTACGGCAAAAAATCTGTTCACATACACACACACATACATGCTTTTTCCTAATTTGATCTCATTCGATTCAGAATGGCTTGAAACGTCGAGAAAACATAAAATTAGCAAATCGGATTTTTTCATGAAAACAAACTTCTGCTTCGGAAAGTTAATCATGATAAAATATAACGTGATCGTGAAATATATTTTTTGCGATTTTTCGCGCCAGCATTTAGTAATATTGAAACGCAAGTTTTTTCAATAATCTTGGCTACATGACAATTCATACACTTTGCGTTTGAAGCTTTCATATTACCGATATGCTTAGCAATTTAAAAAAAAAGATCTTTTATATTGATGAGTTTTGAACATTTTTAAGATTCTCTTACATTCCTAAACTTAACAGTCCTAACTTACGAACAAAAAACATTTAAACGCTTGCAACAGTTTTGAGATAGAGCTGATTTTTTAGTTAGAGGAAAAATTTTATATTCGAAATAAAGAGGTGAAAATTTCAGCTTATTCAGCTAAAAGCTTACTGAACGGGAAGTTAATTATAAAATTTTACACATCAATCGCTAAAGTCGCCTGAAAAATTTACTCATAAGCAAACGAAAATCCTACGCATATTGAATGAAATCGTGTATTTTTTTTAAATTGATAATATTATTTATAAGCGCCGATTTCTTTTCACTGTTTGAATATCAGTCTCGAGAATTTCTGTTATTCGGGTGGCTGTGTTTAAGTAATTGAAATTCAAACAGGCTTTGATGTCTTATTTACATGTAAGGCGATTTAAAACACGAGATATAGACAAATCGATACCCTCGATGAAAAAACGGCATAAAAATTCATATCAAAGGCACGTACTATGCACAATCAATATAGACAGAGTCACGTCTGTAGGTGTTTGGGTAAGCAAGTGATTTTGGAAATGTAGAAAATAAATAAAAATTAGAAAGGTGCTTTTTTCATATCGTCTAAGTTAAATTGATTTATATTATTTGCTAAAGCATTTCAGACATCTTTTTATTTATTTTTTTTTATTTGGGCTCGCCAGTAGGTAAGCGGTTAAGAGCGACGGAACTTATTTCTGAGGTCCCGGGTTCCATACCCACTTCGAGCAGCCTGTTGTCAGGCAGCAGTGACAACAATTTTCACTTGGAAATATAGATAGCAATATGTTTCTAAGTGAAAATAGCCCTTGCCCGGCATTGCTGCACCAATAAAAAGTCAGCCCTATTAGATTAATTCTAATAACAAAAATCATCAAATATGGATGGATTAACCATTGGGTTACCATCTAAAAATACGAAGTAAGAAGTTTCAGCCCAACAGCTCATAAGACGTAAGGTTCTGATTGCTGTTAAAAATATTAAAAAAAGTAAAAAAAAACGTTTTTTATTCAAAGTTTGCCTGCGTTAACGTGATATACTATTGCACTAATTATTATAATATTTACAATACTATTGCACTAATATATTATAATATAATATTTACAATCATGATTAAAACACAATTTTAATTTAGTTTAGAAGCTATTCGGTTTGATGTAAATATTTAGTGGTATTATAATTATTAACTTACCCGTAGGGTAATTTATTATGATCATCCAAAAATCGAAAATAGAAGTGCATTTTTTTACGTTTCAGACGTTTCTGAGCATTTTGGCATACCTTAGTGGATACAGCATTTTGTCGGCGTTTTCGGATGTATGAGTCAACCGATTTGAATGATTCGATTTCTATTGATAGGGAAACGTGCTAATTAGTTTTTGGCAAAGACAGTTTCAACCGTTTCGAAGATACGGGGCATTTTTATGGAGAAAATAGAAACTAAGTTTTTTAGAGAATAGAACATCCGAAATGAATGATTTAAAAAATATTCACTTCACAATGATGGGGAGACGTGGTGATTAGTTTTTAGGAAAGTCAGGTCTAGCCGTTTCTGAGATACGGTGCTGAAGTGAAAAAATGGCAGGTTATGAGTGAACAAAATAGCTAATTCAAATGATTAAAAAAATATTTAGCTTGTGTTGACAGTGTGAAGAAACTATTAGTTTTTGGGAAAGATCAGTTTCAAAATTGAAAAAAAAATCGAAAATATTATTACTTTTAATTACAAATAATATGTTAAACCTTACTTATATACTGCAAATAAGTTATTCTAAATTTGCTGGTTCTTCAACTAGATTAAATTAGATTAGATTAGACTAAGTAATAAACGTCGTCGTACAAATAAGCTACGAATTTTTTTTCCACTAAATACGAATAATGAATAATACAGCATTTATTACCTATTTGCAAACATTTAAAATTCTTCGAATATTTCATGACGATACGGGAAGTTCCAGCAATTTGCCTTAAGGCACGTTGCCAGGCGCCGCTAGTTTGTTAGTATACTCTATTAATTAATGAATGTAGTCATGGCAAATTTACCAATGATCATTTCTCTAGATATTATATCATATTATCATTTGTTTATATTTATATATTAGTAGATAATAAATTCTAAATTATAAAAACTGTAATAACTGTAAACTTACAATTATTATAAAACATGAATTAATTACGATATTACTTACATTGTCTGTTTTCAACTATTTTTTACTAACTGTTGGACTTTGCCATTTAACTATATAATGATAATAACTATACTTTATATTATACTATCGCTCATTTGTATTTTTCTATTTATTTAAAATTTATGAAATTATAAACTTATTCTATTGATATATCTGTATTAAAAAAATATCAATATAGCTGAATAAAAATTATTATTCATGTAACTAACTGCGAGAGAAATAAGCAGCAGAATTTTACTGTTGCATCCACTTCATAACCAAACATGGTTTTCTTGGAAATGACCAAGAAACTCTAATACCTACCCTTTGTGTCTCACAAATTTAATTTCCTACTTTGTCTTCGACTCTAAGTCTTTAGACAACTACGAATGCATTTTATGCCATGCCATTACTCATTTTAAAGAAGTTCCTTAGAAATAGTAAACGACTTATTATTAGTACTAACTAAACCTGAATTGAATGGCTACGATTTTAGCATTGTTTTATCTCAGGATAATTCTTTTTTTTTGTCAAAGAAACTGCAGCAAAAGATCTATTAATTGCAGAAACGTGCATTGAGATAGATTGAGTGGATGAGATTATTTTCTGGAGAGTTTATCTTCGGTTTAACGTTCCTGGAACCATGGATCATTTAGTTCAGACATATAATATATATATATATATATATATATATATATATATATATACATATATATATATATATATATATATATATATATATATACACTAGATGACTCAACGGACGTTGTCCTGTACCCACGTCTACAATTCAAAAGTTTCAATTTTTTTAATAACTTATCCTACTATTTTTAATATCCTATTTGATGTCCTGCCTTTGTGATTTATTTATGGTCTTAGCATAAATAGTATAAGAAATCCAAAAAAAATATTTTATCTGCAATAAATAAAAATATCACACTTGATTTTACCACACAACATAAGTGCTTCAATAATTTAATCTATAATTTTCATAACTTCGTACGATATATTAGTTGCTTCTTGGCAATCATAATTTCTAAAGTACATCTTTTTTACTTATAATTTCATAAGCATTATTATTTAAGTTTAATTCTTAGGTGGTTTACTTCATAAAATCTAGTACATATGAGTACTCATCAATCTAAAATCAACATGCTAAATATTCCACATCCAATGCCAAACAAATGAATTTTTCACACAAGAAACAAAACTTTAAATCATAATTTTAATAAGTAGAAATATTTTGTTGTATTGTTAAATAATTTTGTGAAGCAAACCAAAATGCGACATGCATAAGTTTAAAAAAATAATGTATGTGCAATTTTGAACTTATTGCGTTATTTATTAAACTGAATTATGTAATTTCGTCTGCCAAACATGTGCTGTTGACTGTATATTATATTATTTTAATTTCTGGCACATCTCAGCTGCAGTAGACTTTACATTTTTCTTGCATATTATATTTTAATATTATCTAGGCTCATAATTTCAACTAAATTCAATTATCAAGTAAATTGACATTTCTAGCAGATGACTGTTCAAATGTTTTCAATAAGTGTGTTTTTTGTAATTTTTGCCATTTATTTCTACAATATTACTATAGTTTTATCGTTCATTAAATCTTAAAAAAATTCTTTGACAAACTCTAAAAAGAATTATGAAAATTCCGAAAAACCGTTTAGAAGTATCAAATCATACACCCGTAAGAATTTATATATATATACATATATATATATATATATATATATATATATATATATATATGTATGTATGTATATAATAGGATGGTCCTTAATATGGACATTTTCAAATTCCTTGCTCCCAAGGGCTCAAATGGTTCCAAATTGATAAAAAACAATTCTCTGAAAGTTTTACTCTTAATATTGACTTTTAGATAGTGCGCAAATTGTGTGAAAATAGCATGAAAAATTTTTCAAAAGAATTAAAAATGTTTTAAGCTATAATTTAGCGAACAAATGAATGAGTTTTTTTCAAAATTTGTCGCTAAGTTATACCTAATTTTTTTTTTATTTTCAAAATTTTTTCCATGCTATTTCCATACGAAGTTTGATTGAATTGCGCACTATCTAAAAGTTAATATTAAGAGCTAAAACTTTCAGAGAATTGTTTTTTATCAATTTGGAACCATTTGAGCCCTTGGGTGCAAGGAAATTCGAAAAAGTCCATATTAAGGACCATCATACTATATATATGAAATTAAATGAATAGGCAACAAATAAGCATACATACAATTTGTCAGACATACTCGATCCAGAACCAATTAAAATCAATACCAAATGTCATGTGAAAATTTATTAAAATAATGTCTAGAAAGACTTACTTAGTGAAAGTTTTTCTTATAAATATAAATTAACTGTCTTCAAGAAATATATTTTAGTTTTAATAACTATTTATCACTTTTAGGTTCGCGTGGTATAGGACGATTTGACGAACAACGCCTAACTTTAAGGATTCATAGAGGACGGGGTGGTTCTGAAAATAGAAGATGTCATCATCATTCTTCCATTAAAAGCAATGCTTCAGGTAAGTAATTATTGTTACGAAAAAAATCTATATTCTCATGAAACTGATAGGTACTAAGCATTCTACAATTTCGATTATTTTACTATAATATATTATTAAAATCAATTCCTGAATAGTTTGTATACGTTCTCAAATGTAACATTAATGAAATGGCTTTTAGTAAAGTTTGTACACTTCAAGACCAGTTTATAGAAAAGGAAATCATTTAGAAACGTTACTTATAAAACTTTTTAATTAATGCGACATACCGTGAGATTGAGACGTGACCAAGACCTTTTAGAATATAATTTTTGCTTCTTAATTAATACTTCTCTTCTGTAAATCTCTATTATGATATTGTATTAAAATTTAATACGCATATCATGTGGCAAAATGGAATTACATAAAAGACAGGTATTGACAACATTTATCTAATAAAAATATAGCTTAGATTCCTATTTTTTAACTTCTCGAAGGAGAAGTTTGTTTTCATCAAAAAATTCAATTCACTAATTTTATGTTTTCTCGAAGTTTCAAGCCATTCTGAATCGAATGAGACCAAATTTGGAAAAAGTATGTATATGTGTGTGCATGTAATTGAACAGATTTTTTACCGTAAATCGACGTTTTCTCAAAAACGGCTGGACCGATTTCAAAAATTCAAAAGCCATTCGATGCTCCTCGTTGGGGACTATTGTTTGTCAGTTCAGTTGGCGATTGGCCAATCCGTTTCTTTATAAATAGCAGAAAAGTGAAAAATTCAAAAACAGTTCGAAAGATATATGGTTGGGAATCGTGCTGATTAGTTTTTGGTAGAGATCGGCTGGCCCGTTGTCTTGTAATAAAGTGTTAAAACATTTTTTCGACGATTTTTATTATTATTTTTTGATGGTAGATAAGATATTATAGGCTTATAGATCATACTTAAATATAACGGCCCTACGACAACTCGTATAACTTTAAAAATTCGTCAGAGTTTGCAAAAATTGGTATCGTTTTTTTTTTTGCACTTGTCAAAATGAGACCTTTCATCGACGTTTGCTCAAAAACGTCTGAACCGATTTCAGAAATTTAAAAGACATTTGACGTATCTCGATTTTCTGCAACAATCGGCCGAGCCGTTTCATTGTAATTTGGAAAAAAGTGTTAAACTTTGCGTCCACGTTTAAGCTCATACTGTCGAATCGATTTTGAAAAATCAAAAACTGTTCTAAAGATATAAGTTGTGAATGATACTGATTAGTTTTAGGTGAAAATCTACCGAGCCGTTTTCTTGTAATTAACTATTGAAAAAAAAAATTAAGCCGATTTTTATGGAACTTTTTTGGCGAGATATATATGGTCTTATAAAACTTACTGAAATATTACGGCCTTAAGACAAGTAGTTTAATTTTAAAAATTCATCAAAGTTTGATAAAATGAGTAGAATTTATTAAAATGGTTAAAGGCGTTAGAATTAAAATTATACGATTTACTTGATATAACGATAGAGACTTGGCCTCAATAAACATACTGAACCAATACTACGGAAATACTACGAAGTACTACGGAAATTAACTCAATTATAAAAATTATTGATTTGTGAAAATTTGCTTGTAGAAAATACTCCAAGTTAACGTGTTCGTTTGTTTTCAAATACATATGTGTAATAAATCCACTCGGAATACTTTTAATCAATCACTCATAAATTAGTTTTTTTAATTGATTAAGTCGATTATTTACACATATCGGGAAGTTCATATTACTTGCCTCGAGGCAAAATACGAAAAGCAAATAATTTTTAATTTTAATGTTTTACAGACTACAATCATTCTGACTATTTTTTTATTATATAATGAGCACATTCTGAGAGATGTGTCATATTACTTTTTGCTGCTTTCTAAGCGCGGAATATAGTTTTTGTTCTGTCATGTGAAGTTCTAATTTGTTTGTAATGATTTATTCATTTACTGCAAAATGCTTTTCCATTGTTTCACAAAATATTCAAAATTCTAGTATGTAAAATGCTGTATGCGAAAATTATAAAATTAATGTTAATAGATACCAACACTATTAACAAGTAATATAAAGATGTATATTTATATCTATGTATATATATAATATATATTATATATATATATATATATATATATTATATATATATATATATAATCTATTTCTATTCTGAAACTTCATTTTCCGTTTTCATGAATGAATAATTTCCGCGATTCATAATTCCCGTCATAAATTCATAATAATTGGCTATTGTTAGACGCAAATATAACTCAAACAATAGTCAGATGATTTCAAATGAAAATCAAATCAAGTAAGTAAATAAGGAATGGAAAATCGTATTAAAGAGCGAATCGTAGTTCTATTGAACAGTTAGTTAGCCTCATTACTGCTATATGAACAAAACACAATTCTTTGAACAGCAATCCAATAGAAAGTTTTGCCGCTCAGAGTTATTCGTTAAAATAATTCAATTTATTCCTTCGGGATAACGAGATTACATCAAAACTGGTCCGAATCAACATCATATCGAAGTGAAGAGCTAGTCAAAATTTTAACGTCAGTAATTTGATAAAGCAAGTTTTTTTATTCTCATTATTTTTTAATTTATCAACTAAATCTTAATAAACTAAAAACTTTAACTTCTTAAAGAATAAGTGAGAATAAGTATTATCTTATAATTACACAGTTACAATAAGGAAGTATTGAGCTGTAACCAACGAAAACTATTTTTTGAAGAATTTTTCCATCACATCTTTTTCCTACCTTGAACGTGCATGTTTATTTAACAAGGACAATACATACAGTATTTATTCAATACAAATTTTATTTTTATTTAAATTGACAATTAATTATATTATTTATGCTATATAGTTTTACAAAAATCAACATGCCAATATCCTTTTCTTTTACGACATATATTAATTTGCAGTTTTATATAAATAATTTAATAATTAAACTAGTGGTGTATAGCATCGTGCCTTATGTACCGTACCGAACTGTTCGAGGAATATTAAATGTTTTCGAATAGATTATTATAAATACTGTAAAATGGTCTAAAATTTGTAAAAATTATATAAACTGAATTGCACAGTAAAAATTACTAATTTTTTATAATTAGTATATAAGTGTGCCTTAGAACTTTAGCAAGAATTAAAATTAAAATCTATTAATTATTAATATATTATTAAAAATTAAGTTATAAACAATAATAAAAAAATTAATAGTTTTTTTAAAAAATATTGCTTAATATTCTACCTAACTTTTTTACCAGTAATCACACAAAGATTCAAACAACCTTTTTTAGAACTAATAAGCATCTTTTTGAAAATTTTAATATTGGTTTTGTGTGTTTCAGAAACCAAAAATATTTCTCAATTTTTTTTTAATTCCTGCATACATATATATATATATATATATATATATATATATATATATATATGTATGAATTTTATATTTAAAAATCTTGAAAATTGGTTTTTAAAAAAGTAATAATTTCTATATTGACTTTTGCTGGATATAAATATCAGCGTTCATAGTAAAACATACTCTTTTTATATATTTAATAAAATACTTTCACAATTTTGTAAAAAGCTCTTGTTACATATGAAAGTATATATAAAATAATATATAATTGAAACTTGATATTCAATATTCATTATTTTCGTTTAATTTATACAATATATTTTTAAACTAGTTGGTTTGGTATTTAGCCTTGAGGCTAGTTACATGAACTTCCCGATATGTGTAATTAAACGACTTAATCAATAAAAAATAATTTAATTTATGAGTGATTAGAAGTATTCCGAGTGGATTTATGATTGAAAACGAACGAACACTTTGACTTGGAGTATTTTCTAATAGCAAATTTTCAAAAATCACCAGTTTTTATAATTGAACCAGTTTCCATAGGACTTTAATGGTTTTGCAAACTTTGACGATTTTTTAAAATTAAACGACTTGTCGTAGGGCCGTAATATTTTAGTAAGTTCTACAAGACTATGGTATCTGCCGTCAAAAAAAATGTAAAATCGTCGAAATATTTTTTTAAAAAACTTTATTACAAGAAAACGGCCCGGCCGATCTGTACCAAAAACTAATCAGCACGATTCCCAATCAATATCTATCGAACGGTTTTTAAATTTTCAAAATCGATTCAGAATTGCGGGCTAAAACGTGGACGAAAAATTTTTCACTTTTCTGCGATTTACAAAGAAACGGCCCGGCCGATCGTCGCACAAGACTGAGAAACGCTAGTCCTCGTCGAGATACATCGAATGGCTTTTAAATTTTTGAAATCGATCCAGTCGTTTTTGAGAAAAGTCGTCGATTTACGGCAAAAAATCTGTTCACACACACACACACATACTTTTTCCAAATTCGGTCTCATTCGATTCAGAATGGCTTGAAACGTCGAGAAAACATAAAATTAGCGAATCGGATTTTTTGATGAAAACATAAACTCCTCCTTCGGGAAGTTGACAATATCTCATTAGCAACATTTATACATGCATTCATAACTTACAAAGATTCTCATCCGTACCATTTTTCATATTATTTGTTGGGCATGAAAATATTTTTTTAAAGTACTAATATAGCTCCCAATAGCTAGATACAAAGCCACAAACAAAATAGAATTACATATAAACCAATTTGTATGAATTCTGTTCTGTTACAAAAAACATTAATATGCCTTTGAGCAATAATTTATGTCTAGAAACCAGGTCGTGCAAAATGTTGTACGTGCTAATTTAAAATAATAAGCAAACGCAGAATATTTGTGCAGAAATATGTGTAGAACTTTAATCTTCAATTAACTGTTTATAAGATAATTTGATGAAAATTTTATCTGAATGTCCTTTGACTGCCTCTCTATGTTTCTGGCCATTATGATGTTATAGAATCAAACAGTTTTACATATATTTTGATTGTCTCGTTATACATTATTTCATCTCTGTATATTTTATATGCAGCGAGCGTTCCTAAAATATCCATGAAACCGAGACACGTGTCTGAAAAATTGATATCATTTCGAAATGCTAATTACAAATAGTACTATTGTAATAATTAATATGCATATATATATATATATATATATATGCATAATTTGCATAAAGCAAAATTGTAAAAAAAATTGCATGGTGATAATTAATCAAAATAAAACACCCTTTAATTGTTTTGTTGTTTCTTTTCAAAAATGATAACTAGTTGAGCGCATGGCATCGTGCCTCAAGGCAAATTGTTGAAACTTTCCGTACCTAAAATTTGTTTTTTTCTTAAAGATAAACATTTTTGAAAAAAAATTACTCTGAAAAATAAAATTTTTGATAAACTATAAATTTTTGACAAAAATTTACTTTTTTTTGAAAAAATGACGTTTTTTGAAGAAAAGTGTATTTTGAAATATTTTGGAAATTCTGAACTTTTTTTTTCAAAGCAATCGTACTGCCTTAACTGCATACAGACAAAATATTGAAGCGCGAAGGGCCGCGCCGCTGTCTAACGGATAAGCATTGGTACGGAACCCATAGGAATGTAAACAAAATTTATACTTATTGTTAAAATCTCTGAAAAATAGCTGATAATTTGATGTGCATATGTTTAATGATCATATTTGACCGCCAAAAGACATTTTTTTTAGTTTTTGTACTAGATCTCCGAAACCGCTAGACCTGCCTTCGTGATCAGTTCTTCATCTTGTTAATACAAGTAAAATGTTTTTTGAATTATTCAAATCGGATGCTCCGTTCTCTTAAAAACTGAGTTACCGTTTTTGCACTTTTTGCCCCATATCCTTGGAACGGCTAAACCTGCCTTCGCCAAAAACTAATCAGCACGTCTCCTTATCAATACAAATCGAACGCTTTTTGAATTATTCAAATCGCTTCATCCGTGTTCCCGAAATCGTCGACGAAATTTTGAATCCGAACACACATACACACACGCACACACACACACACACATACATCCATTTTTTTTTAAGTATGCCAAAATATCCAGAAACCTCTAAAACGTAAAGATATATAAAAATTTTCATTGTCGATTTTTTGCGATTATTATAACTTACCGTACGGGAAGTTAATAAATATCTAAATTTTGCATAGAATTAAACCTTTAAAATATTTTTGAATCGATTTTCAATAAAAATTATACTAAGCAATAATTTTTCTGAAAAACAAAAACAAATATTGTAAATACAAAGAATTATTTGAGCTCCTAAAATCAATAATTTTTTTAGGAATTTTAAAAATTCATAATAGTCGTTGTTAGTACTAATTATGCTAATTGATCCATTGATAATTAAAAAAAAAAATTTTAGAAAAATTACAATAATTCAGTACAGTTATTACTCTAAATCGCCAAGATAAACTATTATTATTTCTCACTGATTTCTATTTTTTATGTAATCATTTATATTATCAAAATATTGCTTGTTCTGTGGTTTAATAACATAATTCCTTTATATAAATAATGTATTAAATGTATATATTATGCTATTAAAACAAATAATGATAGGAAATATATATCCCTTCAGAATTTATTAATATATATTATATATTATTCAAGGTAAAAGGATTAATTGCGTTAATTTTTTTATTTATACAGAAAATACATGATACAATTACATTTCAAATTAAATGGCTATTACTTCTAGTGAAGGATCCAAATTATTTTTACTCTTTTTTAATTATTACTACTTAATATTTTTATATTAACTTGTAGTATTCATGCAAAAGATATGTTTAGTATTTGTTCATATTTTTAATTACTCATCACATTTTTCTTGTTTGTTCCTTTATGCAGCAAAATATATCTTTTATCAAAAAGCCTCATTCACTAGGATAAAGTTTTTGTGAATTTTTCTATGAAGCTGCCAATCCTGTAGCATATTGCAATCAAGTTATTGTACACTCTTTTACTTCTTTGTTTCAAAGAGAATGCAAATAATTTGAAACAGCAAGAGGACGCACAATTTATTTTCATTCTCAGTATAAAGTATAAAGGTCACGCTTTTTCATTGATTTTTTGCACAGGCTTGAAAATTCAATTGCTCTATGAATCCATAGAATAAATTGATTCATTGTTAGTTTGAAATATAAAAGAGATTTGATTTCAAATCTCGAATTATGTATAGATAGATTGACACGTAGATTTAATTTTTATTTGTATAAAAGTTTCTGCAATTACAAAACTGAAATTGAAAATATCATATACTGTATAAAATGATACTGCTTTTAATGCTTCAGTAAGACCAGTCATGAATTAAAAACTTTTTTTATTTGCATAGTTTTATTGTCAATCAAAATAATATACATTTTTTAAGACAATATCCTGTTGGTGTTAATGCATTTAAGTGATTATCTCCTATGAGATATCTCTCTTTTTTATTTTTTGACATTTTATTTAAGATCGTATGACCATTTTTTTCAATTTTTGTGTTCCTCGCTTAATACTTTTAAAAATATGTTCGGGTGACCTGGTAGTTTTTTGTGGTATTTTTTGCTCCTTTCTTTTATCATTTCATTAATAGTTTTTATTTTTAGGTCTTTGTGTAAGGTGTCATTTGTGACATACCAGGGTTAGTTCACAATGCATCTTAAAATGTTCAATTGCTCTGCTTGTAATTTTTTCTATATTTGAATTGCTTGCGCTCAATGCCGTATGTCCAGATTGGGATAATTATTGTTTTATATAAAAGGAGTTTGTTTTCATAGCACATATTTGAACTCCTGCCAATTAGCCGAATTGAAAACTTGACTTAAAATTTAAATATTTTCTTTCTATTTGTTTTTTCAATATTTTATAAATAAGCAGAAGAACAAAATACTAAAAATTTTAGTATCACATAGGTTCACTACCTTGTATAAAAGTTTCTTCATTGACTCGCCAATTTATTTAAAAAAAAATAGATGATTTTAAGCATGATTTTTATTCATATACAGAATTTACATTTTAATGTTTAAGTTTACTTTCAATGCATTCTTAGTAAATCAAATTCAATTTTGGATATACAATTTTCGATAATTTTTTGTTGATCATGGAATATCAAGCATTACTGATACTTTTTTTTTATTTAGGGAGAATGTCTACATCTACTTCTATGAGGAATTGTTCTCCACAACATAGTTCACCACGTAGTGCAAGTACCAGCTTAGGAAGTACTCACGAATCACCTGAAAAATCATCTATATCAAGGACCAACACCTGGGTTTTGCATCATGCGACCAATAATTCCAATTCTGGTAATTAAATCTTGGATTATTTGAACATGTTATTATAACAATTTGTTTTTTTGAAAGAGCCAAACGCATGTGTATGACAGTCATAACTCTTTCAAGACTGAGCAGTATGTTGATCTTTATGCATTTCATTTTCATGACTTCTTTTTAAATTATTAAAATAGCTGAGTTAATAGTTCAATACCTCAGTATTTCAGAATCAACTACAATTACTTTTATTGAGAATCAATTGTGTATTTTTAAGGGTTTCCCATCCATAAATAATTATCGTATACTACACGTAGGGTAAGTTATAGTAATGGACAAAAATGGAAAATGAACATTTTTGCATATCTTCACGTTTCAGAGGTTTCTGAATCTTTTAGCTTATCTCAGAAAAAAGTCATTTGTGTGTTTTGTGTGTCCGCAATTTTTTGTCCACGTTTTCGGGCGCACGGATCAACCGACTTGAATGGTTCAGAAAACATTGAATTCCTATTGATAGGGAGATGAGCTGATTAGTATGTGAAGAAGGCAATTCCAGCAGTTACGGAGATATGGAGCAAAGAGTGCAGAAAATAGAAATCGAGTTTTTGAGAGAACCGAGTATCTGATTTGAATGACCTAAAAAACAGTCAATTTGTAATGATTGGGAGAAGAGATAAGTTTTTGGCAAAGTCAGGTCTAGCCATTTCGAAGATACAGAGCTTAATGTACAAAAAATTTCAGTTTTTGAAAGAACTAAGCAGCCGATTTGAATTATTCAAAAAACTTTCTACTTGTGTTGACAAACAATTGCTTTTGGAAAAAAATTTCATTTCAATATTTTTTTGTATATTGAAAATAATTCAGATTTTAATTTTATTTCCGGCTAAAGTTCTAAAGTTCACGTATATACTTCAAATAAATAATTTTAACTTTGCAATTCAGTTTATATAATTCTAATAATCGATTTAAAATATTTAATATTCCTCGAACATTTCGTTACGGTGCTGGAAGTTCCACTGATTTGCCTTAAGGCACGATGCCATACACCACTAGTTCTTATTTCATTTGATGAAGTTCCATATATTTATTGCTAGCTTCTATACGATACACTTCAAGAGTAACTTTGTAAGTTGTATTTGTTGAAATTTAATGTTTATCGATTGCTGTATAAGTTTCCTCATAGCAATCATCTTAAGTATAGCTCGTACACAACTTTTTTTCTTGTAGTTGTTGTATTAAATAAAGTTATCCGGCTTTCGAAACGAAAAACATCGAACAAGTAAAATAAATCTTGAATTGGAATCAAGACTTAGAAACATATGTCACGACACGACGCAAAAATGGCATCGAACTCCGACGAAAGATACGGGTTACTGATAATAAAAGACTTAGGGCTGGTAGATATTTCGCAAAATAAAAATTAACAAAACTAGTGCTGCATGGCATCCTGCATTAAGGCAAATTGTTGAAACCTTCCGTACCAAAAATTTTTTCACATTTTTTCACATTTTTTCACACATACGAACACACACCCATACATACATCCATTTTAGCTAAGGTATGTCAAAATGTTCAGAAACGTTAAGATATGCAAAAATTTTTATTTTCAATTTTTTTGCGGGGACCACAATCGAAAATTATAATACAATTCCACCAAGATATCAAAAATTCAGTCTTTGCAGTTGAGCTATATAATTTTGATAGACCATCCTCTATAAAAAAGCACTAATGCATGTTCGCAAGTGTTATAAAAAGGTAGCGCATTTAGTCAGGATTGTAAAATGATAAAATTATGTTAATATAGTGGTAAATGTTATTTACAGTTAGAATACCAAATTTTAAATTAATAAAAATAAGAACTAATGGAACATGGCATCGTGCTTTAAGGTAAATTGCTGGAACTTCTCGTACCAAAAACTGTTCTTTTTAGAAAAAATAACTTTTTTCCAAAACTTTGAAATAATTGAATTTTTGAAGGTTTTGAAATTTTTGACAAAATGTGATTTTTTTATCTTTTATTTTTTTCAGAAATTTTGAACTTTTTTCAAAGCAATCGCGCTGCATAGCTGTTTTAGAAGATAAAATATCGAAGCGCGTAAGCGCCGCGTTGTAGTACATTGGTACGGAACCTATAGAAATGTACACATTTGTACTTAATTTTGTTAATCTCCAATATTCTATAATATTGTGGGAGTTGTAATGATTATGATAATATATTAAATTATAAACTCCCAACATAAAAAAATATATCAAATTTATTGACTATAAAAATATTACGATATGAAAAATATACATGACAAGTACAATTGTTTTTTTACAATCATGGCTAGCCTGCTTGATCCCCACACACTCCCTGCCCAGTGTTGACCTCACAGTTTAAAAAGAAAATACAGGGAAACACGTTATAAAAAATATGGTGAGAAAGCAGATGAAGCAGTGGTCAATTAGAAATTTCCATGTTTCGTCAGCAGATTCACGGTATGTGGTAATTCGACCTTCCATCAACTCCATATTCTGCATAAGGTTCTGACTAAAAAAAAAACATGTGGAAAATTTCCTGAACCTCGATGTCGGTGAACTTCTAAGATTCAGCCTCGATCTAATTGGTATTAGTTATATCAGAATTACTTAATGTTTGGAATGCATAATTTATGGGTACAGATTTCATTTCTGCAGGCGTTGCATTCGTATCTGATGGGTTCTGATCAGAGAAAGAAGTTGGCTCTTTATCCAAATCAGGATCATTGGTTTCTTTAACATAAGTTGGGTTCTGATCAGAGAAAGAAGTTGGCTCTTTATCCAAATTAGGATCATTGGTTTCTTTAACATAAGAGTCCAGAATTGTGGAATCCAATAAATAATTTATGTCAAATTTTGTTTTGACTCGTCGCTGTCACCGATAATGGGAGGTAGCATCAAAAAACGATTAGTTGAGTTAACGGACGAGGAGAGGTTGAATTGCATTCCAATGAAAAGTCTAGGCTCCAAATTATTTCTTTTTGTCAGCAATAAACACTGAGGTCTGGGTATACCAAATGAGTAACCTCGGAAGTCTGATCCAGATAGTAAGTGCGTTAAACTATGATGGATTGGACTGGACGTACCTTATAGGTTGTCTCTGAAGACCAGTGATTATGGTGCTGCGTCAAAATTAATTTTTCTTAAATCCTCGAAAAATAAAACTCCTTGATCTTCATCTCCATCGTCGTGAGTCACCAATGTGGGAGTTGTAATGATTATGATAATATATTAAATTATAAACTCCCAACATAAAAAATATATCAAATTTATTGACTATAAAAATATTACGATATGAAAAATATACATGACAAGTACAATTGTTTTTTTACAATCATGGCTAGCCTGCTTGATCCCTACAATATGATTTGCATATAATTAATGATTATTTTTGACCAACAAATGGCCATCTCTTTTACTTTTTTTTTATTGAATCTTTGGAAACGCTGAACTTCTAAAATTTTCTCCAGTTGTTAATTTCGACAAAACAAGTAAAATGTTCTTTGAATCATTAAAATCAAACGCTCCTTTCAATAAAGAAAATATCATTTTTGGCACTTTTTGTCCCGAATCATCGAAACGGCTTGACCTTTGCCAAAAACTAATCGGCACGTCTACTTATCAATAAAAATGTAATGTTTTCTTATGCATTAAAATCGGTTGATTTGTGCTCTCGAAATCGTCGACGAAAAATTGTATCCGCACTTATATACACACACATACATCCATTTTTTGAGGTATGCTAAAATGCTCAGAAACCTTTGAAACATAAAGATATATATATATATATATATATATATTTTATATATATATATATATATATATATATATATATATATATATATATATATATATATATATATATATATGATTAAAAAGTTGATCAAAATTCATTGAAATTTGTTATTGGAAGTTATTCAACATTTCCATTCGCATTAAAAGGCGCACCCTGTACATTCTACACACATATATATACATACACACAAGCACACAAACACGTCATTTTGGAAAAATATATACTAATAAAATTTTAAATATTTGGCAAATCATTCATATGAGAAGTTATTCAAATTCAATTAATTTAGATTGCTTTATTCATAATAATCAATTAGTGAAAGGTAACAATCAACTAGCTTTTAAAAAATTCTATTTATTTTTTTGGAAAATGACAACCTAATCAAAAAG